CAAAATTCCGAATACAGGCACAAAAAAACAAGACATTATTGATTTTATGAAGGATAAGGGAATGGAAATACCACAAAAACCAACCAAAGCCATATTATTGGATCTTATTAAAAGACAAAAATTTGAAAAAGAGTATGTTGTTGACAATCTGCTTCAGCAAAATGGCCATGAAGTATTACGTCTACCTCCCTATTACTGCATTTTTAACCCGATTGAGTTGGTCTGGGCAGCTTTAAGAAAAAAAGTAAGAAAACATAATCAGACCCCTCAATTAAGTGAATCGCTATTGACCACAACAAGAGATGCAGTATCTCATATTGCTGCCACAGACCTATGGAAGCAGTGTTCTAGGCATATTATTGAAGAAGAAAATGAATATTGTGTTTTGCCTCCTGTAAATCCCGTTGTAATTCCTCTACAAGATGACTCTAGCGACAGCTCCGAAGGATGATATATAAATACCTATAATGTGAGTCTTTATATACCTTTTTATATACTACCTGCTATGTAAATATTTGCCTATGTCAAACGTTGGAATTCTGTAATTTTTCCATTTCTTAACTTTCAGTCAACATAAATTAAACTCCCAATATAAGTATTTTTTATCCCAAATCAAAAAAATAAGAAGATAGTAAAATTCATTTATTGTGATATAAAAACATTATTATTATCGTTCTAAATAAATAACCGCACGCCTATGATACGTCATGAAATTACAAAGGACGCGCCGACCAAAGGTTTTTATGCTATTTCAAGTGACTTCAGATAAACCATACCTACCTGTTGTGTTGCATTCAGCAGCTACTTCCATCCATATATTTATTGCAACATCCCTATCCATGTACTTCTTATTGGACTGATCCCACAACGGAGGTCTTTTCTGAATAGAACTAATTAGTAGTTCAACATCAATAGAGTATTACTTCCAGCACATTCAGGTAACGCGGGAAATAAAAGAGCAGATGAGCTCGCAAGGAAAGAATCATCAACACCCTATACAGGCCCAGAACCTGCCTTGGAAGCACAATAAGGAAACAAGTCAAAGAATGGGCAAGAAACCAGCACATTGGCACTCAACTGAATGTAGGCATGAGAAAGAGTTAAGCTCGGGACCTTGTCCAAACAAGACTGCGGAAGTGCTCTCAATGAGTAGAAACCAACTCCGTGCTTCTAGCAGGACACAGTGGCTTGAAAGAACACCTGAGCAAAATAGTGCTGTACGATGGAGAGGTTAGCTACAGACAAAAGGAAAAAGGAACAGAATCAGCCCTACATGTCTTATGTGAGTGCGTGGCGATAGATCACAAAAGACATCAACCCTCAACCACTGCCGACAGGAAAACTGAACCAACTGGTTCAGAACACTAGACTGCTGGATTGGGTACTACGAGTATAAATTCGAGAAGCAAAGCACAATAAGCCCTAGAGGCTGGAGTGCGATCGGGGACTTTGGTCGGACGGCACCGAGTTGTTATTACCGATTTTTTGGTAAATATAGAATTTTGCTTAGCGGGGATGCCAAAAAATCTTAGGGGATACAAGGAAATTTGAGGGGATCCAAGGATTTTCAAAGAGATTGGAATAAATCTGAACGGAGATTTGTTTGTTTCAAAAAAGTGTCTATGGTTAGCCATACGAGCAGTATTATCTCATTTTCTTACTCACTCTTTCACAATCAGTCTAAATCCATCAATAAAATCGTACAAGCTTCCTCAGCATTTATCCAGCCAATAATGAAAGACGATGATAGTTCGACCGCCAACAAGCTGTCTCATAATTTGACGACCTAGTACGGGCGATAGAGCTGAAAAATTGCAAGTTTTGGAATTCAGCTGATGCTGTCTTCACTTTTTTGGAGCTTATCGTTAATGTAGTTACACATATATTGCTTAAGGCCCGTATCGTCAGTCGTCCCTACAATTGTAGGGCGCGTTTATGGCCTCCTTGATTGTCATAGTCCTTTCTCTCCTTCAAAAATGTCTAGACTACACTTGTCCCGTGTCAGCGTCAGCGCTCTCCTATTGTGAAGATATGTTTTCTTTTTAAATTGTAGGAAATTTCAGGCTGATAAAACATGATATGACTCAAAAGCAAGCACAATTTGATGCAAATAGATGTTTATGACATAACCTAAGACCTACATTGTCTGTAGAATTTGCGCTATAAAAATAAAAGATGCTGTGAAATTCAGCTCAAGGATCGAGAATTCATTAGAAGGTGGTAGACGAACAATGGAACATAAAAATAAAGATCCACTCTTGGGTACCAACAATTTCGAACAAAAGCCAGTATTTATCTAGGAATGTCTGTGTTTAGAGTATTCTCGAGGATACATTAACTAAGTTACATTTGCAGCATCAAGAATGATATTTTAACGCTGCCATCATTGTCAGCAGTCCAATCAACTCGCCATACTATCTTCTCAATGGAGAATAAACTCTCTAAAATCGCCAGGTTTGGAGAGGCTTTTGTTTTCATCAGCATCTCCTGTCGTAGAATTATCGCCTTAAGAGTCTGACCGAAAGGACATTTTGTAGCACTAGGTTCAAATTAATTCTGAAACATCTATCGCATGTGGTTCCCTACGAAGTTGACCTGCTTCTATAAGCAATAACCTCCGCTACCATCATCCCAACGGTGCTCAATGCATTTCCTGAGACTGAGAATCTGTTCTCTCATCTCGCACCTTCCATTACATGGTCTTTATGCATCCCCAAACAGAATCTGGATTCATCACCAAAGACATTCTAGATCCCAGTTCAACCATTCTCTGCACTAAGCCAGTCGGTCACTTCGGTGCTTAGGATTGAGAGGTAGGAAAAACAGAGGACGGTACGGAGTGAGTCTAGAACTGTTGATCCAGTTGCATTGTGATATGCTCTCCATGTTCTTCAAAAAATAGATCCGGAATTGACCTTGTGGTCGTCCGCTTTTCGTAAGCGGTTCCGTATAGCCAAAGCTTAGTGTGTGGCCATCCTTCTCACACGCCTGCAGCTCTAACACTTCATTTAAGGCATTCCTGATTTCCTCTCGACAACAAACCACCACTGTATTTAGATGTCTGCATACCCTGGCGGCTCTTTATCTAAAGGACCAAATAGCCTCACAGAAGCCCACTATTCGCTCCGTATCATACTCGCTCAGCCACTGGAAGTCTTCTTGTCTTCTCATTCTTTGCATAATGATCAGATTAAAGCAGATCTTTATATTGTACGATCAAATGCCAATTGTAGCTTCCTTTATCTGTAAGAATAGATAATATCACAAAAACTACTTAATCGATATATACCCTATTTCACGTGAATCCATCACGCCTAGGTATAGTTGAAGAGCTGATCATTTTTGGTTCTAATCTAAGTAAACATATACCTAGAAAATATTAGGCCAGCACAAGTTCAACCAATGAGAATGCGTCTTTGAAAGAATGAATCTAATGCATATATGGTCGATTTCTTGTAAAATGTCACTCAAACTAGAGAGTAATTAAGTAAAATGGACTCCCAATTCTCATATTAGATCAAGAAATACTCCCTATTTTGCAAAATAGTCCTAAGGGTGTACCGCAAGGATCTATTCTAGGTTCCATATTGTTTATATTATATATGTCTGACTTAGATAAAACGCTCGACACTGTAAGATTCACACATATGACCGATGACACTCTCTTGTATTTGTTATATAATCCGTCTATCAGTAATGTCTGTTCATGATTTAAAAGTAACGGTTTTAAGGTCAACACCTGAACTTGCATGTCCATGTCTACATACAGTTTTAAAGACATCTTATCTTAAAGGACCAAAATAAAGCTCACAAATAGTTTAGCCCTTTGGGCTTTCCGACCGCAAAGGGTTCAAAATAGCTGTGTACGCATTAATCTGGAATACCTAGGAGAGAAAGAATCTATCATCATATCAAAGGAATGAAATGTTTGAATATGCAACAAAGACTGGTAGTATACCTACCTCCTTTCATCTCCCCAAACCATTCTTATTAATAAGACACCGGCTTACGTAGATAATAAGCTATATAAACCAATGGCGTAACTTGTTGGACATGTTTTGGATGTTCCGCCACACAGAACTAACTTCTAATTTAACGTTTCTCCTACATCGCACCTTCACTATGCAATATCCTGCCAGCTAGTCTGAGGACTTCATCATTACATTCTTGTAGGAATAAAATTAAGGACTTTATTTCGTCATTGATGTATCTATGTATTTGTTTTAATCTTATCTAATGTACCTGATTTGGAACAATTTAATTGTATGTTCCAATCTGCGACTACTTGACCATTTCTCGATTCTTTTATTTAGTAATAACGTATTTTAGAAGTTTAAGTATTTTATTGTATTTTTATAACAAACATTTCTACTTGTATTTGTGCCTATACATACACCACCGGCTGTTTCTGTAACTTTTGGCTTGGTTGATATCGTAAAGCAGCTAATAAGCTTATTCAGATAATATCCGCTAAGCAAATAAAGGTATTTCTTTATTGTGATTATTATTATAAATCACTTGGGGCAGCTACAGAAAGCTATTTCTCATTTGCATCCGGAAACTAAATTAACGGCCACGATCATAAAATGCACAAAAACATTTGCATGATACCATATTTAGATTGATATGACAGTAATTAAATGAGCATTTTACAATTCTGCTTGATAAATTCTTCGAAGACATGAATAAAATTACAGAATTCATATTTTTTTAACAAACATCGAGTAAATATTGAACTTACTTGGCTACCGTGCGAAATACCCTGTTCCCTAAACCAGCCCTGTAAGCAAGGAGCTCTTGCGTCCTCTAATGGACAGTGGGACGACTACTTCTGGAGTTGCCACTGTCACGGAGGCGCGGCATCATCGTCCCACTGTCCAGTACAGTGCGCGACAGCTCCCTGTTAAAAGTAATAGGGCCAGCTTGAGAGATAGGGTTGTTCTCTCGGTATTCAAGCAAATCGATTATTTACTCGATGTTTGTTAAAAAGTAAGCATTCTGTAATTTTATTTATGCCTTCTCAGAACTCATTAAGCAGAATTTTGTACTCCAGCAGTGCGACTATTATTTTCAATAAAATGCTCAATAATTCCGTCATATCACGTTTGGTCCATGTTGCGAGTAGGTCACAAAACCTTCTTGCGTCCGGAAACAAATGAAAAATAGGTTTTTGTAGCTGAATCATGTTATATATGACGTATTTCTTGTCAGTTTGAGAGACATTTTTCGAATTGTGCCGCGGGCGCAAATTTTGATTCCTGCGGGTCTATAGTAGAATCGGACCTAAGTATATCAATTTGATGTTGCTAAGAATCATTCAATCTGAGCCAACGCAACGCCTGTACTAGTAATACATCGGTCCACTGCGACGACGCGTTCGGCATAAGCAGTTCCTTGACTTATTTTAAGCCGGCTAAGCTGAGCTGGGTCCCCACTTCCGTGACGTAAAGGTCCGCCGATCCAGAGATCCAGACTCTGCCGCGTCGAGGCACAAGCACGCAACTACAGCTTTCGATTTGACTTGACCGCGCGACCGTTCAAGATGTAATTTACGATCACCAATCACATCTCAGGTGTTTCGGATACTCCAAAGAACCTGTTCCAGATATCCAGTTTCCAGAATTATTTTCGCCTCATGCGACAGCGAAACCGATTTGTGATAATTTATTCCAGTTATAAAGGTAAGTTATTTTATTTAATTTTTGATGGATACCTGATATGCGCAAATGTGGTTAGAGTTTAGTCTTGGATCGCAATGTAAACTATAATGGAGCTAAAAATAATGCTAATGATACTGCCAAATGAATATGCAGGCTGAATGAAAAAAATGCCGACAGTTCAGACCTCGGACCTCGTATTCATAATTAGGTTTATGAGGATGAAAACATAGTTGAGCTTAAGTTATTTAATTGATGCTTGGTAAACATCAGGACATCACAAAAGCATGCTGGAATGGTAGGTTTATATTGTGTAATTTCTGTTGTTGCTATCTCTTTTGATCCGTCTACCTTATTCTGGACAATAGTAGAACTCTTTGAACTAATTTTATTAGAGCTCACCCTTTGGTTATCTTATGTGCCTTGAGTGGCAGTGCAAATGTTAGTAAGGTTTATTTATTCACTAATTATGGGTTTAATTGCCAGAAACCAAATAGATATGGAATACTTTGATATACGATGTATTCACCTCGACAGCTAAAGTTACTCCTTAGGATAGTTGAGTTTATTTTCTTTTAATCTTCAAAAAGCACCAATAAATTCACAATACAAAAGGAAACTGTAGAAATATATAAAACAAATGAACATCAATCTTCTGTAGTAATTTGAGGTGACATCAATGTTATCAAACTTTTACCTTATTCTTGCCCGTTTTCGCCTTTTGGTTTGCTTATATCGTACATGTTGGCTTATTTATCCACAAATATTGTCAAAATAGTCATATGTAACAAAAATACCCTTGACGATTGTTCTATAAAATTTACGTTAATCACAGATTTAGAGAAATGACATCTTTTCCAATTTCATTGTTTAAAAAAAATCCAACCCTCACCAAATAGGCGCATATCCATATTCTTGTTTATACAGACATAGGAGGGAATCCCTGTTATTTCAGAAAGCATACACCTCAATCCAGAGCCCACTGGTATCAATATTAAAATAATATGAAGATTTTCTTCAATCGCCCCTCCCACTTATTTTTGATCTAGTCAAGTGAGCAAGTTGAAATACTGGATCATGAAGTGAGAGTTGCAAGTTCAAAGGTGTCGGCTGGGCGCCATTTTGGAATTTTTTTAAAAAGAATGTGGGATCATAATCATAATCATCATCACTGGTACCCTGGATTCCAAATCACGAACTATTGTACATTTTGTTTCGCTTATGAGTCAGCAACTGATGGTCAAAATTAGTGCTATGGTGTGTTATATCAGTTTTCTTCTATTAGAAGAGTCTAGTAAAAATATCGAAGATTTCATTTAAAGTTTGCAAAATTTGAAATTTTTCTGAATTAAATATTCCATACTTTACTCTATGTTTCGATAAATCTATCCAAAAGAAAAATGTTGTTTAGAGGATTAATGGTAAGCGAATTAATGTCAACTTTGACAAATCTCTAGTACGGCATTTTAAAAGATATTAAAGTTTATCTTTAAAGTTTAGAAATGATTTAGAATGATGTACCACAGGACCTCAACAATTTTTTTTAAAAGATCTACATTGGCACCTATCCTCTTAACTGTCTCTTCAACGCTAAATTATAATATTTATTTATGCATCAGTTTCATCAACGTGTTCAAAAAGTAAATCAGGGACACAAGAGAAAGTACTGTATATCAACAGAGAACACTTTCGGAAAAGATTGTGGTTTAATTCCAACAGAATAGCTTCTAGTAAGCTTCTAGAGTTTCTAGACGGTGGTGATCTCTTTGCTACTCCACACCACACAAACTTCTGTAGTTGTACTGTTGTATTTAAACCTTAATAATAATCGGCTGAGCGTTCTCATGAAATATAAATCGTCAAAGATCTTGGCACACCTGTTACACTATTTTCTTGGACACACAGATATATACTTGCAGTTATGCATGCCAAACTTTAGACGACTAGACTCTGTATCATTTCGCGAGCTTCCCGTCATCCTGTGCATCGTTTATATTTGCGCCTAATACTAACCATGGGCGCCTGTTTAAGGGTTAATAACTATTGAGAGGCAATGCATTTATGGTATCTTTTCTGGGATTGGAACTATAGATTACCGTTACAATTTCAAAGAGATATGTTTGAAATACTGTACGAGGGGGTACTAAAACAAAAAACAGGAATGATTTTTCAAAAGCTCTCAATTTTTTCACAAAATAACCTTATCTCCTTTAAAATACTATCCACTACAATTAATACACTTGTCCCACCAGTGCTTCCACTGCTCGAAACGTTTTTTGAGGGCTTCCTTGGAAATGTCTGACAGCTCCTCCCTCGTTTTTTTCTTGGTCTCTTCAATGTCGTCAAAGCGCCATCATTTCATGCCCCGTTTCATCCGTGGAAATAAGAAAAAGTCGCACGGAGCCAGGTCAATCGAATAAGGTGCATGAGGCAACGCAACGATGCCATGTTTAGCCCGAAACTATCGAACAGAGATGGCTGTGTGCGCAGGTGCATTATTGTGGTGGAAGAACCAGTCTTCTGATTGCCACAAATCGGGTCTTTTTTGACGAACACTTTCAATTTTCGTCGATTCGGGCAGTTGATGGACGTCCAGAGCGAGGTTTGTCATCAATCGACATGTCGCCATTTTTAAATCGAGCAAACCACTTGTACACCCATATCATCATCTTTGTAAGCTATTTTCAACATTAAAACAGTTTCAGCAGCATTGTTGCCAATTAGAAAGCAAAATTTCACAGCTGCACGTTATTCACTGAAGCTTGGCATCGTAAAAAACGAAACAATCACGAAACAGCTCTATCAAAAATAATACTACTACAGAGGAACGAAATAAGCCAGATCGACAACTCAGGTGGCACTGAACCGGTAATGAGTTGCGCTGACGCCTCTAGGGGCAAGCTCCGCCCACTGCAATGCTATTCCGGCTATTTTTGGCTACCTCCTCGTATATTAAAAAGTGTTCGTATCAATTTTATGTGCTTTTTGATTTTTAGTTGTTTTTAATTTTTCTCAATTCCATTTTCTATGTTTACAATTATTCAGCTCTAGAACAGACCGCTAGTAGATCTTATTGAACTTAACAAATAAGTTCATGTAAACCTATGTATCGTACGGCGTCGTTATTAAGATACAGGGTGCTCTAGTTAATTTCTTTCAATTTAGATATTTCTCTTAAATTACACGAGGGATCTGGATGAAACTATCTGAATCGATGGTAGACATCATGAGACTTGATCTGTATTGGCCATATCCGACTCAATTATCCCCCCGCTATCAAATTTTAACAGGGTAAGCAGTACACTGGTTTCTTTGTCAGTGCGATCAAGAGACTTTGAGACGTCCAAACATTTTCTCCCACTTGTAAACAGGTAGTTAAATAGTTTGCCAATAAAAAAATGCAAAATAAACTGAAACTTACTAATTAAACAGAAATGTGAGAATCGTCTTCAATTAATTCATAAGGAGACGAGAAAACAGACTTCACTGTTGACTGAAGCATATTTAAAATACCAATACTGAAATAAGTTCATTCTATCCTCTTTTATGGCTCCCGAAGAATGAAACTAGGGCGGCTTGTATAGCTACAGGCAGGTAGAAATTTTAAAATCCCTTGGCCTTACTCAAAAAGGAACCAGTGCTAGGGGAGTATTTAGTTAAAATTCCAAATGCCCGGATAAAAACTGATAGCGCCGCCCCTGGGGTAATTTAGGTGGATATAGCTAGTACAATATAAGTTCCTTAATGACTACAGTCGATTCACAGTTTTATCTGAATTATTCAAGTAATTTAAGAAAAACTGAAAATCTCAGTATTAGAAGAAATGAACTTGAACAGGCTGTATCTCAAAAGGGATGCCTTTTTAGAATAAAAATTTTTGGGCTCCGGTCAACGTGAATTAATTTTATTTCAAACGTACAACGTTTTGGCCATCTAGGCCATCCTCAGGTACATGAAACAATATTAAAAGCGTTACAAAAAGTATTTCTAATAAAATATTACAATACAATCACATATAATTTTAAAATTCTTAGTTTATAATGGGCTTCCCGTTTTTTTTTAATTTTTATGCGTAGATAATTACATGTAGTACCACCAGTCTGTGAGCAACTGGCATATTCGTGAAGATACGTTAATGTGCACAATGAAGTAAAAAAGTTGTTCAAACAAAAACAAGATACTAATATTATTATTAGCGACTTAATAGTACAGGCGAAGGAGGAATAAATTCACAACTATGTTCCTGTAATAAGGCTTGTATACATACTTGAAGATTGCATGTGTCTGTTCGGAAATGAATGCTGTTTGATTCTCTTTCCATCTGTATCATTTCCAAGATATTTATTTTTTGTCAATCTTGTTCTTTAGTAAGTATCTTTGCATATTGAATGGTGGTGTGCTATGTCATGTTTACTTAATGCAGTGGCATTTAAATTTGATTTATGCTCGCACATTATTTTGCTAAAGTATAGTTTTGTTTGTCCTATGTAATTTGAGGGCAGTCCTTACATGGTATTTTATATATACGTATTAGATTACTTTTTGTAATTCCTTACCGATGCGTGGCTTTAATTTTGTGGGTTATTTGGATATCATGTTTAGAAAATACTTTATCAATTTATCCTCAGAGACCGGAAACATTCATCATCGATATGTATTTTTTATTATTGTTCCTGTTTAGTTTATTGTTATAGTTGTACATTTTATGCATTCTTTTCTTAATAGTGCTAACGTGGATAATTGTTTTCCAAAATAATTATTCTTACATTTTTTAGGTTGTCAGGCCTATTTTTAAGATCTGATATCAAAATTGCATGATCAGCCAAACTATTTGTGACACTTGTTTTATATATTATGGGGACAATTCAATTATGATTTAAGTATCTTCCAGACCATTCGGATTTTGTATACCGTATGGCCTAGAAAAACAAGGAATATCTTGGAAATGATTTAGATTAAAAAAAAAATTCAAACCGCTTTAATTTTTTTACTACTTCCATCCTCCACAATACATAGGTTAAAAC